GGGGGGGCAACTCTGCCTCAGAACTCCTCAGACCCCTCCAGACGTTATACAATCTGATTGCACAGGCGCCTTAATGCTGGCCATACACTATGCAATCTGATTGTACACAGGCGCCTTAATGCTGGCCATACACTATACCATCTGATTGCACAGGCGCCTTAATGCTGGCCATACACTATACAATCTGCACAGGCGCCTACATACGCTATACAATCTGATTGCACAGGCGCCTTAATGCTGGCCATTACACTATACAATCTGCACAGGATGCGCCTTAAAGCTGGCCATACGCTATACAATCTGATTGCACAGGCGCCTAAAGCTGGCCATACGCACGCTATACAATCTGATTGCACAGGTGCTTTAATGCTGGTCCATATACACTATACAATCTGATTGTACAGGCGCCTTAATGCTGACCATACACTGCAATCTGTACAGCCGCCTTAATGCTGGCCATACGCTATACAATCTGATTGCACAGGCGCCTTAATGCTAGCCATACACTATACAATCTGATTGCACAGGCGCCTTAAAGCTGGCCATATGCTATACAATCTGCACAGGCGCCTTAAAGCTGGCCATACGCTATACAATCTGATTGCACAGGTGCCTTAATGCTGGCCATACACTATACAATCTGTACAGCCGCCTTAATGCTGGCCATACGCTATACAATCTGATTGCACAGGTGCCTTAATGCTGGCCATACACTATACAATCTGATTGCACAGGCGCCTTAATGCTGGCCATATGCTATACAATTTGCACAGGCGCCTTAAAGCTGGCCATACGCTATACAATCTGATTGCACAGGTGCCTTAATGCTGGTCATACACTATACAATCTGGGCGCCTTAAATGCTGACCATACACTATACAATCTGTACAGCCGCCTTAATGCTGGCCATACGCTATACAATCTGATTGTACAGCTTCCATAATGCTGGTCATAAGCTCTACAATCTGATTGTACAGGCGCCTTAAAGCTAGCCATACGCTATAGAATCTGATTGTACAGCCGCCCCCAGTTAATGCTGGCCATATGCTATACCATTGCATTGTACAATCTGATTGTATTGTGTATGTAAAGCTTTATCAAAATGATGTAGTACGAGGACACGCCTAAACAATCCATCCGGTCCGTATCCTATCAGGCAGGTCCATACACTACTACATAGTTGATGGTAGATCTAAAGATAATTGTACAGATTGTATAGTGTATGGCCACCTTTAGTTGCATTTAATGATCATATCGATATGTGTGTGGCCACCTCAACAGGGACAGATGACTGTGACTGAGGATTAGGCACTTTCTCGATCTGCAAAACTGAAAACTATTGTATGAAGTTGATCTTTAACCCTTCTGCAGCCAAGGGGGTATCATACTCAGTACCAGGGGCGGACTGACAACTCATGGGGCCCCCGGGCAATAGGAGATCATGGGGCCCCTGTGGTCCTTGCCCAAACTCAAAAAAGCCTATGAAAAAGGTACCAGGGGCATCTCATGGGGCCCCCTACTGACCCCGGGCCCCAAATGGTCAGTTGGCCCCTGCTTCAGTACTTGATGATCCTACATGAAGGCCTGTAGAGCAGCAATACAAGGAGCGGGGTGAGAGCGGCTCAGTGCTTTCATCTCAGCCGTGTATGTAAGTTCACCGATTGATCTGTAGAAGGTCACAGACATTACAGAGCACCTAGTCGGGATCCATCAACATTTCAACGGCTGAAATTGGTGCACCAAAATGAAAATGCTGGGGCCGAAACCGAAAATTCAGGATGCACTTGGCCGAAAAACCGAAATGGACAGTTTTTAAAAATTAATACATTTTTCAAAATTCATTGTTCTCAGGAAAAAAAAATACACTTTAATGATTAGAAAAAACACAATATATACCCCAATTGTTTTGTAAAATCTGAAAGTTAATGTTACGGCGAGTAAATAGATACCCAACATGTCACACTTTAAAATTGCGCACGACCGTGGAATGGCGTGAAACTACTTAAAAATCTCCATGGGTGATGCTTTAAAAATGTCTACAGGTTAGCAGTGTGAAGTTACAGAGGAGGTCTAGTGTGCTGTTGTTTCCAGTTGCTTCCACTTTGTTATAATCCCACTAACAGTTGACCGTGGAATATATTTAGTAGCCAGGAAATGTCACGGATGGACTTATTGCACAGGTGGCAACCTATCACGGGACCACGCTTGGTGTCACTGAGCTCCTGAGAGCGACCCATTCTTTCACCAATGTTTGTAGAAGCAGTCTGCATGCCTAGGTGATGATTTTATACACTTGTGGCCATGGAGGTGATTGGAACACCTGAATCACATGATGTGGAGGGCTGGCCCAATACTTTTGGCAATATATAGTGTATGTTACTCATGCAGCAACATGCAATGAAGATTTACATACCTGATCCTCCTCCATGCTGCTAGACCAGTTTTTGAAGCACAGTGGTCTAAGGTCCTGACAACATGAAGACCGATGCAGGGTTCATAGCTCTGCATTGGACTCCACTGCTGAATCGTGGTTTGCAGTTCCATCTGCTGGGAGAGCTGAGGATCAGATAGGTGAAAGTTCTCTCTTCCTTAGAAGGAACAGGCAAGTAACCCGTGTGTAGTGCAGGCTTATCCTATCTCCAAGAGACCATTTTCACATTTCACAGAGTTGGCCTTTATGGATATTTTCACACTGATCCATGGCAAAAAGGGGGTAACAACACATTTGTATTTTTGCCACAGTTTTACCGTGTTTATGGTGTGTTTTTGCCATGACGTGTAACTCTAAAACCACCAAGAATGCAACTCGAGTGCGTTTTTGATGCGTGTTTGTCGCGTTTTTCTAAAGATTTTAACCACTTGTGCCCCACAGGATTTACCCCCCTTCCTGACCAGGCCATTTTTTGCGATACGGCTTTGTTATTTTGACAATTGCGCGGTCATGCAACGCTGTGCATCAATTTACCTGTTTATCCTTTCTGTTCAGTGTACCCTCAGGCTCTCTTTTTTTGTTTACAAACGATTTTATTGCATAAAAGTAGACTGTAAAACAACAGCACATTGTCAAATAGAACGTTCAACAATAACAAGGCACTTTTGAATCGTACAATACAGAGAAGTATATTAACCCCTTCCAGTCCGGACACTTTAACCCCCTTCCTGACCAGGGCAATTTTCAGCTTTTAGCGCTATCACACTTTGAATGACAATTGCGCGGTCATGCAACACTGTACCCAAATGAATTTTTTACCATTTTTTTGAGACAGATAAAGCTTTATTTTGGTGGTATTTATTCACCACTGGGATTTGTATTTTTTTTGCTATGTAAATAAAATGTCCAAAAATTTTGAAAAAAAGTTTTTTTTTATAAAATTTTACAAATAAATAATATTTCATCAAATCTTAGCCAAAATTTATTCCTTTATCTTTTTAGTAAAAAAAAAATCCAAATTAGTTTATAAGCAAAAATTATAATTTTTAAACTTTTTTTTTACATTTTTATTTTATTTTTTATATTTTTTATTTTTACATACTGTCACCCTAGCAGTACAGTGTCACCATGGTGACACTGTACTACTTATGGGGGGTGATGAAGATTTTTTTTTTTTTTACACTTATTGCTTTTACACCCATATAGGATGTAAAAGCAATCATTTCTCTTTCTCTCTGTGTGCATTCTTGCACTCATTGAGAAGTACTGAGTGAGCTGTGATTGGTCACAGCTTGTCACGTGGTACAAGGCTTTTGTGAATAGCCTTGTGCCATGTGACCTCTGTGATCATTCACAGATTTCACACGCAGTAAGCAATGATGTCAGAAGTGACATCTTGCATACTACTTTGCATGTGATTACATGTCTGATTGGCCAATCAGTGATCACATGATCGGGACCTCGTACACAGGTCCCGTCTGACGATCAGTGTTTAACTGTGTCCGGAGGACACAGCGGGCACCGGATCGCGGTGCTGCACGCTTCCAGGGAGCCACCCGACCCTGCCACTGACGGCCACCGTTTATATACAAGGGAGGTGGTTAATGTAGGAAAGAAAAAGAAAAGAAAAATGAAGATTGCAGAAACATGAAATGTGTAAATGATGAGGTAGATTAAATGATACATCTGTCATCAGTATATGCCATACGACTTTCACTGGGAATGTTAATAACGGTGGATTTGATGTAAATCACTAGTCAGTAAGGCTGGATGTAAATCCTAGTTTTCTACATAAAGACTAATTCTTGCTGGTATAACTTTAATATACAAGTAGATGAAGATTTTTAGAATAACAACTTTTCATATTAGTTTTTTTATCCCCAGTTTAATAGGTTAATCATTCATATTTGGACAACTTTTCTGTTGTACTTAGGAATGAGAAAAATAATCATTACCTTAATAACAATTTTTTTGTTTACAAACGATTTTATTGTACATGAGTAGACAGTAAAACAGCACATTATGAAAGTGATATTGTCAACAAAAACAAGGCATATTTGAAAAGTACAATACCGGGCACTTATACCCCCTTATTTACCAGGCCAATTTTCAGCTTTCAGCGCTGCCGCACTTTGATTGACAATTGCGCGGTCATGCAACATTGTACCCATATGAAATCATTTTTTTCTCACAAATAGAGCTTTCTTTTGGTGGTATTTAATCGCCGCTGGGCGCTTTACTTTTTGCGCTATAAACGAAAAAAGTGCAAAAAATTTGAAAAATTTTATAATAGAAACAAAGAAACTTTTTTTTTTTTTCAAACAGGTAATTTTTCTCCACTGATGTGCGCTGATGAGGCAGCACTGATGGGCACTGATAAGCAGCACTAAAGGGCACTGATAGGCAGTACTAATGAGGTGTCACGGATAGGCGGCACTAATATGCAGCACTGATAGGTGACACTGATGATGGGTACTGATAGACGGCACTGACTGGCATCACTGCTGGGCACTGACTGGCACAACCGCTGGGCACTAACTGGTGGCACTAACTGGCAGCACTGGTGGGTGGGCACAGGTGGGTGGCACTGGTGGGCACAGGTGGGTGGCACTGCTGGGCACAGGTAGGTGGCACTTCTGGGCACAGGTGTGTGACACTGCAGAGTGGCACAGGTGGGTGCATTGCTGGGCACAGGTGGGTGATCTGCTGGGCACAGGTGGGCGGAGCTAGTGGGCGCACTGCTGGGCACAGGTGGGCGGAACTTGTGGGTGGCACTGCTGGGCACCGATCATCAGGGCACTGATGATCGGTGCCGATCCTCGCTCTGACAACTGCCGGTTCTCGGCAGTACTTTCCTCACGATCTGACAGCGTGAGGAAAGTGCAGCCGAGAACCGGCACTTGCATTTCCCTGTGATCAGCGTGTCATTGGACACCGCTGATCAGGTGGTAAAAGGCCGCTGTTATTGGCCTTTTACCACATCACGTGACCAGCTGTGTCCGTAGGACACAGCGATCACGGAGATCGCCAGGTGCGCGCAGGAGAGCGCGTTCTTGGAGGACGTCATATGACGTCCACCCAGAACTGGCCGGCCGCACTGCAGCCGTCATTCGGCTATCTGCGGTCGGCAACTAGTTAACATAAAAAAGAAGATAAAGGAAAAGAGGAAGTTACGAGTGCATGAAATACGTAAACGATAAAGTAGGTTGAGTGATACATCTATCAACAGTATATGCCAGCCAGCTTCTACTGGGAATGTTGGTAAGCATGCAATAAATGTCTACAATCTCTCCATGACTCCCATTTTTTATCGTATAAGTACATCTTGTCTAGTAGGGTATAATGAATGCGGTCCATGAGCATTACAGTATCAATTCTGTGTAAAACGGAGTCCAAGGGTACAGCATTGGACCTCCAATGTAAGGCAATAGACCATAAAGTGGCAATACATAATGTATGTATCAATCTCAGATTGGTATCGGAGACCCCTGGGATATGAGCCCCCAATAAACAGGTCTGTATGGACAATCGTATCGGGGTGCCCGACAGTGAGGTAGCCACCTCAGAAATCCTACGCCAGATCAAAGATATGTTCGGGCAATCCCAAAATATATGAACCAAAGTACCTGTGCGGCCACAGCCCCGGAAACATAAAGGGGACGTTTGTGGAAACAATACATGTAGTCTTGACGGGGTATAATACCATCTGGTTAAAACTTTAAGGGCCGTCTCACGAACCGAAAGAGATCTAGAGCTCTTGCATATATTATCCACCATGGAATCCCAATCCTCATCCGAAAAAGTGATACCACAATCCTCCTCCCATTTTTGTCTGTACAAAGGGGGAGCATGAAAAAGACAGATCAAAAATTGGTGATAAAGATCTGAAATAAGACCCCTACCTCTGGGGGAGTCACGGCTGATACGTTCAAAAAAGGAGGTCGGAGAATATGGGGTAAGGCCAAAGTGTGCATTAAAAAAGTGTCTAATCTGTCTATAACGAAGGTACTCACGAAGAGGGACATCAAATAACACGCGCAGCATATCGAAGGTAATGCAAGATCCTCCTCTTTGGAAATCAGATCATCTGATAAAGGATCGATCATACCACCAACGAAACATGTGAGGGGAAGAAAAGGCTACAACAAAAGTAGGATCACCAAAAAATGACACACCTGGGGGAATAGGAGAGACTAAACTCAATTTAGATTTGTATTTGGACCAAAGTGTCAGCGAGTGGGTCACTATGGAGTTATGAAAAGTAAGCGATCGGGGGGAGATTTTAGAGCATAAAATTCCCGGTAAATAAAAAGGACGTATCGACTGAGACTCAAACTTAATCCATGGGATTTGAGAGTTAATAGTAGCCCATTGTGATAATTGCGCAAAACGAGCCGAGAGGTAATATAACCTTAATAATAACAATTTAAATAGATTTATTCAACTGAAACAATAACATTCCAGCATATGTGATTTGCCTAAACATCCATGTTTGTTAACTAATTTGGATAAACAAAATATATATATTTTAAGAACCTTAGACTGTCAGCCCCTTCCTCCTCACACTTAGTTTCCCTTTCTTCCTGTGCAGATCTATTCCACTCCAAACAATCAGAAAAATATTGTTTCTATTCTATTCACTGAACTTCTTGAAACTTAGCAGTGAAGGGGTTGATTCTGTATTCATAGGTTTGTAGAAGTTAGGATGAAGGGCTTTTTTCTTAACTCTGTTCATGTTATAACATTTTTGCTGTGAAGAAGAGGCATGTGATCTCCGCTGAGTCAAATTCAGTTTTAAGAACTGCAAAAGTAAACCAACATCTGTGATAATATCTTGTAGGCAGAGAAACTGCCCAATAATCTTACAAAAACCTCTGGAAGAGCATGACTTTGTGAATGGATTCATGGAATTTATTTACCAAAACAATTAAACATATACAGCCTTATTCTACATAATTAAAAAACTAATCTTTATTTCATGACCTTTGGAAGGTAATATATTTTCCTCAAAAAGCATTTTGTTTAAAAAAATCTAATTTAAATAAAAAAAATCTGATTTAAATTTTTTTTTTTTTTAAAAATCATTGATTTTTATCCACCCTGGTTAATAATCATGCAATAGATGTCTACAATCCCTCCATGACTCCCACTTTTTATCAGATAAGTGCATCCTATCCAATAGGGTATAATGAATGCATTCCATGAGCATTACAATATCAATTCTGTGTAAGACGGAGGTCAAGGGTACAGCATTGGACTTCCAATGCAAGGCAATAGACCAGGGGTGGGCAAACTTTTTGACTTGAGGGCCGCAATGGGTTCATATATTGGACCCGGGGGCCGGACCAAGAGTAGATGATTGATGTGTATGTGTCATCCATAGTAAGTATAGTAATATTCCCCCATAGTAAGCATAGTCATTAATCCCCCATATAGTAATTCATCCCCCATATAGTAATTCATCCCCCATAGTAATTCATGCCCCATATAGTAATTCATCCCCCATATAGTAATTCATCCCCCATATAGTAATTCATCCCCCATATAGTAATTCATCCCCCCTATAGTAATTCATCCCCCATAGTAATTCATGCCCCATATAGTAATTCATCCCCCATATAGTAATTCATCCCCCATATAGTAATTCATTCCCCATATTAATTCATCCCCCATAGTACTATTCCCCCCCAAGTAGTAAGCCAAGTCCCCCCGTGTCAATTCACTTACCTTTGCTCCGCGCGTTCCTCTCGCCGTGTTCCCGCGCCGTTCCGGTCTTCAGGGCGGACTGTGAGAGGAGCCTAGCTCCCCTCCCCTCACGTTCGTCACGCTGCCCCGCCTACACACATCCTGATAGCCACATCCGCGGGCCGGATTAAAAGGCCCGCCGGGCCGTAGTTTGCCCATTGCTGCAATAGACCATAAAGTGGCAATACATATAGTATGTATCAATCTCATAATGGCATCAGAGACCCCCGGGATATGAGCCCCCAGTAAGCAGGTCTGCATAGACAGTGAGGTAGCCACCTCAGATAGCTTGCACCAAATCACAGATACCATCGGGCAATCCCAAAATATATGAACCAAAGTTCCTGTAAGGCCACAGCCCCGGAAACAGAGGGGGGACGTTTGTGGGAACAGTACATGTAGTCTTGATGGGGTATAATACCATCTGTTTCAAAACCTTAAGGGCCGTCTCACGAACAGAAAGGGATCTACAGCACTTACATATGTTATCCACCATGGAATTCCAAATCCTCATCCGAAAAGGTGATGCCACTATCCACCTCCCATTTCTGTCTGTATAAAGGGGGTGTATGAGAAAGGCAAGTCAAAGATTGATGAGAAAGATCAGAAATAAGGCCCCTTCCTCTGGGAGAGTCACGGCTGACACGTTCAAAAAAGGAAATCGGGGAGGATGGCACAAGGCCAAAATGTGAATCAAAAAAGTGTCTAATCTGTCGGTAGCGAAGGTACTCACGAAGAGGGATATCAAAAAGCTCGCGCAGCATATCAAAGGTAATGAACAATCCTCCTCTCTGGAAATCAGATAATCTGATAAGGGAACAATCATACCACCAACCAAACGTTTGAGGGGAGGAAAAAGCTGCAACAAAAGTAGGATCACCAAAAAATGAAACACCTGGGGGAATAAGAGAGACTAGATTCAATTTAATTTTGTATTTGGACCAAAGCGTCAGTGAATGGGTCACTATGGAGTTATGGAAGGTAAGCGTTCGGGGAGAGGTTTTGGACCACAGAATACCTGGTAAATAGAATGGGCGTATAGACTGAGATTCAAATTTGATCCATGGGGTCTGGGAATTAATAGTAGCCCATTGTGATAGTTGCGCAAAACGGGCCGAGAGGTAATCTAGCCAAAAATTGGGAAGACCGAGACCTCCCAACCATTGTGGGCGGTACAAAATGGATGAAGCAAAACGTGGACACTTATTACCCCAGATAAAATTGTTACTAGTCCGCTGAAAGTGGTCCAAAAACATTTTAGAGACTGGGACCGGAAGTGCTCTGAAAAGATAAAGTAGTTTAGGCAAGATATTCATTTTAACCTCCGTGACTCTACCCAGGAAGGAAATAGGGTAACCATGCCAAATCTTTAATAGAGTAGAAAGATGTGATACACATGGTGGATAATTAGCAGCAAACATATCCGAGTATCTTGGAGTGAGATTAACCCCCAAATAGGATATACGATCCATGGCCCAACGAAACGGAAAAGAACTACGGAGAGATGCACTTAGGGAATCAGGAACATTAACAGGCATAATCACCGATTTGGTGAAGTTAACAGTGAGACCTGACGAATAAGAAATGAAAAAGCTGCATGATGAGGAGACTGGGGAAGAAGAGCTGGGAGGAGAAGAGCAATGGCGAATGGAGCCAGGAGGAAAAGAGCAATGGCGAATGGAGCCAGGAGGAGAAGAGCAATGGCGAATGGAGCCAGGAGGAGAAGAGCAATGGCGAATGGAGCCAGGAGGAGAAGAGCAATGGCGAATGGAGCCAGGAGGAGAAGAGCAATGGCGAATGGAGCCAGAGGAGAAGAGCAATGGCGAATGGAGCCAGGAGGAGAAGAGCAATGGCGAATGGAGCCAGGAGGGACAGAGCCCTGGAGCAATAGAGCCAGGGACAAAAAAGCCTGGGGAAAAAGTTCTTGAAGGACAAATGTCTGGAAGAGCAGCGTCTGGGGCAGCAGCACCTGGGGGAAAAG